CCTCTTCCGCCGAGAATAATAGCACTGACGACGAATTTGTTGACACTGAGGATCACAATTCGCAAGTTAACGATTACACAGGAGAATCCGCACAGGTTGCGCAAAAGTCGGTGCAATCTTCTTCAACACAACCATCCCCCCCTTTGACCCATCAAGATCATCCTACATCGCAACCATCATCATCATCATCACCATCATCATCACCATCATCATCATCATCATCATCATCATCATCATCATCACCATCATCATCACTTCCACAACGTCCAAAGTCTTCTGTCTCACCCAAGAAATTGGTTGATCGTCCTATCACCATAAATACCTCCATTGGAGAATCTAAAAAACACGATGACGACACACCGCAATCTCCCTTTGGTGGTATCACTGTAACCACCGTTAAAGTGGTAGAGATCCTTCACAGTCCAACAACTGATAACTCGGATATTGATTCTTCATTAAGGACAGAAGAGAGGATATCTCAAATTGTAAAAAGTGATTCAGTGCAGAGAAAACGGAGTGTGCGTCCTGAAGATCAAAAAAATTTGCCCAAGATAGTTGAACAAAAACGTAAACGCCATCATCCTGTCTCGTCACCTCCGATTCCTGTTGTACCATCGACACGTGTTATAAATCACAATCAAGCTGCTTCGAAAGTTCGACAAGGGCCCCCACAGAGGTCGTCGATCATCACGGATTCCATGGAGAACCAAAAAAAGCGCACCTCAATAATAAGTCCACTGAAGGGAAAGAGTCTTAATCGACTAAGTACAGCGAAGGTTAAACAACAGAGCATGAACATACCAAAAGAAATGGCATTTATCGACCCTAGGCTAATAGCTAAAAGGTCTCTTGTAAGAACGCAATCGATAAGTCGTAGTAATATTGTACCCAATAAGCCTTTAAAACGTGGAACTAGTACCCTAAGAAAAAGAGCACCACCACGGAATATGGAATTTGCTTCCACTTCGAACCCCGTGCATTCCAATGACCCTACCGACATGGAATCCGACATCATGCCGAGGCGAACGACTGGTCTCCCTTGGTTACCGGGTTCTCCAAAGCCACCGAAATTAATCCATGCCTCTCTGGTACCCCTTCCCAATCGTGCTCAACGTGCCGCTTCTACGAACCCTAACCGTACTTCGAGAATTATTCCCACCAACCCTAATCGAACTTCAAAAATATTATCATCCATAAATCCCAACCGAACTTCAAGAATACTGTCAACCATGAATCCCAGGCGCAACTTAAAGAACCTGACAGCCGCCCTTCCAAATAATAATAATCTTGCTCGTGCTAGTTCTCTGCGAAGACGGTCTTCTGTAAAAAAACGTGCGTCCCTTGACTTTAGGCGACAATTGTTAGAGGAGAGCCTAATGATATCATTTGGTGGTATTCATAATATACTACCTCAAACTCATCCGAAACCACCAATAAGAAGGAAAACGAGAAAAGGTAGTAATGCTAAACTTGAGGACCGAGAGATTAGACGAGAGAGGCGAAGGGAGAAGCGAGAAAAGAGACTTGCAGAAAAGGAGCAATCAGAGGTCACAGGGCAAGATCAAGGAGAGATGGTAGGCACGGAAAATGTTGTAAAGAGGTTGGAGATGACAAGAATAATAAGTACCCGAGAGCTGGCGAAAAAGGTAGAAGAGGAGAATCGTAAGAAAGAAAATCTAAATGGTCCTCTACCGCCACCAAGACAGTCACCGAACGAAGTGATAAGTGCATCTGAGTATTCTCCGCCGGTCAGGTCTAGGAGTAATACGCTGTCGCTGCTTTCATCGCCACCGGAACGAAGGCCTTCGAAACCAGAAAGTGGCTCAAACTCATTGTTACAATCTAACGAACCACCACCCTTCCCGGCTCATCTGTCACGCACGACAACTTTTACCGAACACAATCGCCTACAATTTTCACCGCAAAGTATCTCTCCATCAATTTCATCCAGAATGGCCCTCACACCTCCCGAAGAGTTTGATCGTCCGTTGAAGAACGATGACGATGCACATTCTCATTCTCCAACTCAACAACCTCTGCCAAGTCCCAAAGCACAAAAACTTGGAAGACTCGGTGGGTTGTTTAACAAACAAACCATCGGTTCACCAGGAACTTCGTACACCCCACCATTACCACTGTCCTCCTCGTCACCTCCGACAACGTATATAACGCACCCTTCGTCACTAATACCTACACGATCGGCACCACCACCACCTGTGCTCAACCCCCCACCGCAATCGCCGCCTCTGAGTCCGTCACGAACTCAAAGATTACAATCACAATTGCCTCGATTGAATAAGGGCCGACGTACGAATGAAACAGATCAAGCTGCACCTAATCCGGAGAAACTGAGAAAGATGGAACAATTTGAAGCTTTAATTGCTGGCTCAGAACCATCAGCCAGTAAAAAATCGAAACCTGGTAAAATAAGTGCACTTACTAACTTGATAATGACCAGCACTACTGCAACATCGACCTCGTCGTCATCCTTGAACACCGCATCATCAGCAAATCCAACTGTTGATAAGAAAAAAAGGGTCGCAGATGGGTTACCCACGATCAATGGACATCCGCAATCCGGTGAAGTTTCCAATGTATCTGGCGGCAGCAGTGAAAAACGGAGCAATGGGTTGAAATCAAACCCTGATGTCGAAAGGCTCTCAGTAGAGAAGGATTCGGTAGCAAGATCGTCTTTGACCTCATTGGCTGTTTCAATAACAGAGTCAGTTCATTATCGACCGGAAGAGAGAGATGCACTGGGGAAACCCGTTACAATGGGTGAAGATGGTGTGATCAGGGTCACGCTAACACCTGCCGTATGTCGATGAAAAAAAAAAAATTATATATATAATAAAATATTTATCACTCTGTAATTTTATTTATATAATTTAGTCAACAATATTTATTTATTTATTTGTGAATTAGCAAACAATTTTTCTTTTTTTTTTTGTTTCATTTTCAAAAAGTATGTATCATTTTAGAGAGCATCATTTTCGCGTACCATTCAGTATGTACGCACAAATTCACTTTTTTCAACATTCAATTTCTCTCTGCCATATTTTTCATTTGTAAAGAGGTATCATTGGAAAAAATCACTTTGTGTGTAATTTGATATGTGCATTTGGGAATCAATAGTGTATTAATGCTAATAAATAATCATTCATCAAATTGTAATTAACTGATTTTTAACGGGTCTTAATTGTAAAGAAAAGGAAACCCTATTCTTAGCATAATGAATTATGTTCGGTTACCAAAAAATTTGCACATTCAATGCCCACGTTCAGCCGGCGTAGCTTAGTGGTAGAGCGTCAGTCTTGTAAACTGAAGGTCGGTGGTTCAATCCCGCCCGTCGGCTGCCAACTTTTTCCTCCTAGAATACAAGATACATTAATGAATTATATAGTATGGTTCCGTCAGTTTCGACTTGTCACGTGAAGTTTCTGCTTCGACCGTTATCCCAATGTTTTTCCGCACTTTATAAAATAATTTCGAATACTCAGGAAACTGCATTTTTTCGCAAACACAACAGATAAAACTTTGGGCGATTAGTATAGGTCCCGTCGATAGAGGACTTTGTTTCTGGTTTTTAAACACGGGAGATCAGCGTTTGTACAAGTTCACGCAGCCAAAGTGAAATTTCCAGACCATGCGAACTATTGTCCGGACTTTGCCGAATCGGTCCATTATTCTAATGATGGTCCGCATTAATACTTGTAGAACCAGAATAGATTTTCTATATAAAAAATTACATATTAAATTTATTGATAGTACAAATGGACACAAGAAATCTTGAACCAATCAGTTTCTCTAACAATTTATTGATTTGAAAATTTATGGAACGCCATTTTCAATATACAATCGATAGAAGAATGTTACGCTATTAATCATCATTGATAATCGAATAGTAACATTTTTCTTATTAGTCTAAATTCAATTAATTTATTTATTTATTTTCATTAATTTTTAAAAATTCATTTAGAATTACCGAAAAGGTTTTTAAAAATGTAACTAATAACAAATAAGTACAACCACACCCCACCCATGGCTTAATACGTTTTTTTTTTAAATAAACTTATCGACTAGTTTAAATATAGTTAAAAAGTTAAATTTATATCGATAGCTTTAAAAAAAATTTTTTTAAATATAATGATGAGAAAACAAACAAATATATACAGTATATGTATATGTATTTGATGCAAATGGTATGAAAAATAAGAATTCAGTTAAACGTTATTATGAATCTTCATCATATCTATTGGTTTAAATCTAATATGAATTTTCTTAAATTTAAAAAATCATAAAAAAATAATACTAAAATATTATATATAATTTTTATTGTGTATAATTAATAAGGAAATTTGATTTTATTAACAAATATATCTATTTTTTTAAAATATTAAAATATTTTAAAATTACTAAATATTAATCATATTTATGTTAACATATTTGTTTTGCAAATTAATTTATTTAAAAGGTAAATATGTATATTAGTTAGAATCTATTTTTATAAAGAGTGATCATTTTATTATTTAAAAAAATCATATATAAAAAATTTATTTTACAATTGTTTATTTATTATTATTATATTGAATTTTATAAAATAAAATAAAATAATATTTATTTTATTTGATCGTAATAAAGTTCTTAAGAAATATAGTTTTAAAAGATTATCGTAGAAATATAATATTTTTATCGAATTAAGATATATTATATAAACACACATGTATCGTCTATTTATTTTAATATAACATTGAAATACAGTAATTGTTGGACTTATCATTTTAATCAATAATTGAAATCATGCAAAATTATTCACATATAGACTTTATCATTGAAAACAATAATAATTTTTAATTTTTAAATTTATTATATATTAATTAATGTTTTGTATATTCGTATACACAAATATTTTTTAATTAAATTAAAAAAAAAAACTGTAAATCTCTAAAAAATTGTTTTTTTTAAAAACTCATTTACCAAAGATTTCAATTGCATTTCGTAATTTATAATAGAACTTTCAAATTTATGACAGAACCCGTTAGCAAACGGTTTAAATTAAAGATCTACGATCTATTACAGTATGATATTTCTGCAAAGATGGTTAAATTAATTGAGATCAATACATCAGAGGTATTGTTATAAGCAAGAAAATGGCAATATCAAAATAATTAATACTCGACCTATTCTTCTTATCGGAGATTTAACAAATGCGCTCGTATTAATTGGTATGATTCTCAGACGTTTCATGTTTTTCTCCACGAATAAAAGAAACCATAAGATTAAAATTAATTTAACAAAACATATATTCAACCGATGAAATTAATATCAATTTATAAAGACAATATATCTTTTCATTTGATATTCGTCGACACGAGAACGACTGTGTAAATCAATATAACGGCGAGAAAAGTTCCTGAATAATTATAAGTATATATAAAAAACTGTCTTGATGGATAATATGAGCCTCGGTTATCGCATGACATAATGGGTCGATACGAACGAACGATATTCAAAGTAAGCAAAGGCACAATAATTTATCTTGGCCCCATATTACCATCCTCGAAAGAGCTTCAGCTCCCAAATTTATTTAACGAAAACCCCGGACCATTTTCTACCTTGTTCTATTCACAATCCCACGAACAAGATCATCCTAAGTCAACGATACAATCTTTCACTAAACTACAGCCATCAATTTCCCCTCAATCCTCACGCCCAAATTCAACCGATATCGTAATAGATAAACCGTCAAGAATACCAATAAAACCCATCATCTCTCTTCCCACCAATACCGACATTCCCTGGAATGTTGGTGCTTTTGGAAAACTCTTGAGAATCTCGACAGTCGTTTCGAGATTAATGTTAGGTAAAAGGTGGACTGTCAACTACGCGAGAGCATCTATGATTATCCTTATTGCATTGATTGTGTTTGTGTTTTGTCATGAAAATTGGAGGGTAGAGACGGTGAAAGGAAAGTCGGTTTGGAAGAATGTCCGAGCCGTGATTCTTTAAATTGTAAATAATGTAGCCTACTTTCGTCAAAGATATATAATTCATTTAACAAAACCCGCAATATACAGTATTATAATAAATGGTCAGTAAAACCTGGTGATATTTAAGTACAATTATTGTCACTTGTTCAAGGAAAAAGAAACAATAATCAAATTAATTCATAATGCCACAATAGAACAATTATCTACCTTTTTAGAAAACGGAAGTTTCATGTTTTAAAGAAGTCTTATGCCACCAATCTTGTAGTTTACCATAGATGCCATTCTAACGCTACCAGAGTTATTATTTTACTCTTTAAAAAAGCCAAGAACTGTAAAATTGCGCTTTCGGGTGTATAAAAAAACTTATTGTACGTTTCATTCTGAGGTTAATTGACTGCGCATTACATTCCGTCGTGGGATAACAATAATGATCTGAGTAAAAAATTATAACTCATTAATCATTCTGATGCATATTTAATGGTCTTGAGCAAATATACAGTATATATCGCAATCGATAGATCTTTCGAAAAATTAAGTGATGTATTTTACTTATTAATTACATGATTCTGGTTTTCATACATTATATAACCACACTGCTGCACACTTAACAATTTGAATTTATTCTTTCTCGTACATTCTCACTGAGATCTTTCATCTTCAAAAAAACATGGCCGGTTTCAAACCTTGTTTAGTCTTCCTAATGGCATCATCGCTATTTATTAGCTTGACTATTGGTGTCGTTTTAAAATCGCATAATTCGGATGTTTCTCACATTGATAAACGAACGATCTTGGAAAAACGCGAGTTCCTCAAATGTCTACCGATATTCGATCAATTTGCCGCAAATTTCATTAAAGTTGGTGACTTCAGTGAAGATGCGGTCGAAAAAGTTTTATGTAATTCCCCCCGTCTAACTTGTTAATGCGATTCAGGCGATTGAAATTTGTGTAATTAGGATGTGCCTTCATTGATATGTGGCTGAGGAATTTAAAGCAATATATTGTATATTATATGTATATTTCTGATTTATGTTACTGTATTAATTTTATTGATCTATTGATAAGGACTTTTTTTTATAATATATTTTATTTTATTTTCCCTTGTAATAAACGCGCCAGTACGGAAAACAAGAAAAAACTCGACTAATCTTTTTATTTCACATGATGCATCATTGTCATTGAACAAAAAAAACTATAACTGAGTTGGCTTATCACATAATGACAATAGTACTCCATCGCCTAACCAAATATAACATATGCAGTAAGTTCCAAAAATAATTTCCCTAACAAAGTTTCCTAAAAAGTAATAGGTTGATTGATGAAATTTCATTGAGGATGTGGTTTGCATGGTCGATTCGTGGAGTTCCAGACACATTTGTTGAAATCCAAAAAAGCAATTATATAATTATCACTAAGAATTAGCTGAACAACCAAACACTTCTTTTCAACCATCTTTCCTTCCAATTGTTTGAAAACGTATCAAACGAGTATTTTTTTCAGTGAAAACGTCGCTAACCAAAATAATGACATCCATTATTCCTCCCACTATCACAGACCTCGACCGAGAAACCTCGCTTCGAAAAGTTTTATTGTTCTATAATCCCAATTCTTCTACAAAATCCAGAAATCTTTACGAATGGGCACTTGAAAATTATTTGCAACCATCAATTGATCACGTGTTCTTGGTTTCCGTGATAAATATTCCTAGGGTGGTTTACCCAGCGCCAGAAATGCTTTGGTCGTTCGGATTGAAAGGGTATGGAAATGTAATAAATACCTATGACCATAGAGAGTGTTTGAGCTATTTAAAAAGTAAGGAGGACAGCGTGAGAAACATTTTGGAGAAAATTTCATGCGAATTGCGATGTAAAAATGTAAGTACGGGTGTGTGTAGAATACAATGATAACGTTCATATTGGAGTTTTCTACAATTTTTTTTTCTAAATTCGAAGATAACCAGTTGCATTACAATCGAACGAGGAAATGGAAATGGTGCGCTTCTCGACGCATGTGAATCAATAAAACCTGATGTTATACTAATCGGTTCATCAAAAAAGTGTAAAAGGAAATTTGAATGGATTTCAAATAATTCATTGGGAATACCGGTGATCACATATGACGATGATAAGATGGTCGAAAGGAAGGATGAGAATACGAGAATCTTGAATAAAGGTACCGAGGATAAAAGATGTACAAGCAAAAACTGTGAAGAAAATCTAATAAGCCAGAAATTCGTCTCTGGTACGAACCTTGTAGGGAAAAGGCAAAAGGAATCTAGGCAAAAAGTTTGTGGATCCTTCTCAGAACAAAGTAAGTTTCCTTTTAGTCGTTGATGACTGTGATATGTATCTTGCCTGAAAATTTTTCAAAATCAGATCCTCAATGGACACTTCAAAGTTTGAAATGTAAATTTTCATTCCCCTCAACGCCTAGACAGAAAAATTACTGCAAATTGAAAGATTAGGTACTTTCCAAAAATAACGTTTAACTTTATTTATACTATATTAATGCTTACTTAAATTACTTTTTTTTTTTGTTCTCTTAATCATATATTTAATGACTAACAGGTAAACATCACATTTAATTTACAAGCATTAAGCACACATTTTAAAAATACTGTAATATATTCTAATTGTTACAAATTAGTTTTTTTGAAAAAAATAAATTTCAACAATTAAATAATAACTTTTTTTTTTAATAAAATGAAAAATTTTTATTTTATTTTTATCTTATGCTTGAAAATTCTTTTTTATATTTAACTAATATTTAGACAAGTGATTCAATACAATTTTTACTATATAAATACTGTGAGACATTGATTCTGCAATATTTTGACAATCCCTTTATATATTGTTATTAAAATTTTCAAAAACTTCATAAACTTGATTTTTTTTTAAAACATTGTCAAAGCTTATTTTATTGAGTTTATTAAATAGTACATGTACTTGAAATTACAAAGTAATTTTGTTATCTATTTTTTCTACATATTAAATCAATCTAAATCTTATAGCGAGGTTATTTGAATTTTTTTTAAAAAATTTATTCCATATTACTTGTTATTTCTTAATTGAAAAACCAATATGGTTTATCTATTTAATTAAATGTAAATTGGATTTTATTTGACTTTTTTATATAATATAAAGAGAAAAAAAATAAGAAATGGGGAATAATACTATTTTTGGCAAATCAAATCCCTTTTAACTTACTAAATTTATCAGAAATTATTCTTCACTACTATTTATAACTGGTTATTACTATTTAATTTCTACTATTTCAATGAGAACCAAAAATATTCAAAAAATATTTATAGCTATCAATTAAAATAGAATTGTTTTTCTATTAAAGTATTGATTATTTAAAGTTTTAAACTTATCTTCATAAAAATAATTAATATTAAAGATGTTTTTTATTAAATTTGAATAAGAAATCTAAAATTGAAAAATATTAGTATTATAAAAAAAAATTATTAAACCATCTTACTTAAAACAAAAATAAAATTTGTATGATTTTTTTTTAAACAATTTTTATAAAAATTATAATATTTACAATTATAAAAATAAATATTTGTAAAGTTTTTTAAATATACAAAAGACCACAAAAGTTTTTATTTAAATAAATTAATTGTATAAGTGTTTTGAATACAATAGAAATTATGTTTTTTTTCAAGTTATAATTAAATTTTTTTAAAAATTTTTTTTTAATACTTTGGTTATTAATTTAATTATTTCTTAAATTATAAAGTCTTTTTTATAACATTTAAAATTTTTTAACAAAAAAGTTACTTATTATTATTTTTTTAAATAATTAAAACATTTTACTAAAAATTTATATAATATTGGTTTTAATTATATATTATCTATTAATATTGTAGTATTTGTTTTTTATTATTTAATAAAAATCTAAAGTTTAATTATAAGCAAAAATTTTAATTTTTAAAATAATTTTTTTAAAAAAGTTCAATTTAATCAAATTTAAAAAATTTTTTAATTAAAATTTATATAATTTATAAGCAGTTTTATAGAATTATATGTAAAGAATAACTTTAATTATTATAATTTTAATAATTTAATTTTAAAAATTTAAGTAAAATTTTAAATATACAAACAAATTTATTTGCATTACAATTTAAAAAATAAATTTATTGATTTTTAGATATCTAAATATTTATATAAGAGACTAGTAATTTCTCTAGTTGAAAATTAATAAATTTTGTAAGACTTAAATATAAAAGAAATTTGATTCCAATTATTTATATAATTTTTAATATAACTTTAATATTTATTACTTGAAGTTATTTTTTTTTTTTTTTTTTTTTTTTTTTTTTTTTTTTTTTTTT